CAAAGAGAGCTCTGATGCCACTAGTCTTTTGCAAGAGACAAGATGGTCTTTTGCATACTACTTGTGGTACACCTGCTTATGTTGTTCCTGAAGTTATTAACCGAAAAGGATATGACGGTACGAAAGCCGACATTTGGTCTTGCGGGGTTGTTTTGTTTGTTCTTTTGGCTGGTTATTTACCTTTCCATGACTCTAATCTTATGGAGATGTATAGGAAGATAAGGTGTATATATTATCTTAAATGTGCCTCTGGATCCCTCTTTGAAGAAACATCTGCATCATCAAATAAAAGAGAAAAGAGGAGAAATGGCCTAAATCTAAAACCAAAGACTCAGTGTACTGATTCCATGAAAAATTGCTCGAAGAAAGTAGAAAGCGTCAAACCAACAATATAAGCAAGGTTATGGGAATGTAAACAACAAGAATCGTCAAAAGCATCCGTATGAGGTACCGAGACTTGATTTATCGACAACTGTGAGAGAAAGAAAACCCGGTGCAGTGAATTCAGGCTGGCCAACATCGGTGTCCAAATAAGCAACCCTTTCGTATCTGTAATTTTCAGCAAACTCATTCAGACAAAGGAACCATGATAAAACAATGACTTAGATGTCAGATTTCATGCCAATTGGCATATAGCAAGAAGGTAAATGCGATCTCAAACCCAAACTTCTTGTAGAACTTGATAGTATCTTCGTTGTTTGATATCTCACACAACCCATGTTTTGCTTGCAGCACATGTCAAGAACATGATTCAATAGCTTTGAACCTGCACAAGTTATTGGCACAGTGCTTTGCTTTTGAAAACTGAAAAGAATGGGATTTAGATCATCTTAAATCTTGTTTATGTAAGGAAATGTTTTGGTAAAATTGACAAAAAACTATGGACTGCTTGTTAGATGTTGGAAGACATATCGGTCTAACAAACTACAACATTGGTACCATCAAGATATTGAAAAGCAAAAGTACATTAAAGTAGTCTTTTCTCTGTTTTTTTCTTTTTTCTTGATAGAGAATTTGAGTTATGCGTCACTTCTTCTCCCAAACAGCACAATCAAGGCCTGAGTAAGCTAAACCAAGAGTCCCCAAATCCCCCTTTGGCCCAATCTTCATGATAACCTTATCATCAGTCATAGCCACGTAGAGATTTGATCGCAACAGAGCTTGTGCTGCTAATGCCATTTCTCTTCCTGATCTCCACCAGCTTCGATATACTCTCCTTTAGACCCCCTTCCATGTAATGATCATAGAACTGCATCAATAAAATCACATCAATGGTGCATGGCACAATCTAGAGAACTACATTAGGATCTGAGTTGCCATATAAAAGTGGAGGAGGAGGAAGCCAAATATGAGTTTACTATTGAAGATTTTACCACGGAGAAATAAGTTAACGCTCAAAACCCAAATGTTCTTCTCTACTAAACTAGCATTTTTTTCGTTTAGTCTTGGGAGATAATAATGATTCACACCATGTTTGTTGCTTTGGTATTAGTACAGTTGCATTTATCTCAACAGGGGATGTGGTGGGAAGTATCTTATTACATGGATATACAGCATAATGGTGAATCATAGTCATTATAAGAACCAAAAAACCACCAGCTACTTGATACACTGCTTAAGGTAAGAGATAAGAATAGAGCCAAGGATTATGTTACTTATGTAAAACTTGCTTAGTTTGAATTAAGCAGCGACGATGGAAAGGATAAAGGTAAGAATTTTTGTTTTCACTCTTTTTTGCATATATGTTTGTGGTCTACATCTAAATCTTGTGTATGCATCTCTACTAGTCTGGATGATGAGGTCTCTCTCTCGCTTCGCCAATTAGCAAAGTTTGTGTAAAGATTAGAGTTACCAAGAACCTCAAAGCTTAAAGCTTTATAACCAAGACTTAGTGTAAAACGTTTTAAAAACACTAACGTCTTTAACTTGTTCTTGTGATTC